AGGCCATGTCTGTTCACCAGACAGACAGAAAGACAGAAAGCAAGAAATCACCCCCCAAGGAGGATTGCCAAGCCACAATCCCTTTTCTGGCATGATTTTCAAGACACCAGGTCTAGGATTCTAACCACAGTTGGCCATGTGGGAGTCCAGTGACATAGCCGTTATGCTATCTGCTGATCTTCAAAACACATTTTTATTTTTAAAACATGAACTCAACTCATATTTGTTTCATGTTGTTAATTCAGGTCTTTCATGAGAAATAGAGATCAACTGAAATGTGAGAAAATTTTAATTTTCCTTCAAGAATCAAGGTCAAATAGATTCAATCCTAGACACATTCTCACACACACTTTCGCACATACACACAGAAGTGGATATTGATGTCATATACTTAGCCCATTGTATTGTCACGGTTTTATTCTTAACTGAGATGCTACAATAATGTAACAAATGAATTAATAGAGCAATAGCATGCCATGGTATGCACACCATGTAATTTTGAGTCTGAACTCCAGAGTTCTAGCTTCCTTATCCTTTACACTACAGAAGGAGGAACTTTATTAAGTAGACATGGCCATGATATTGGGTGAAGAGTACTATTTCTTACCATTGCATGTGAATTTACAACTACCTCAAAATAAAAAGATTAATGAAAAAATAAAATGAAAACTTAAACTTCTAAGGAAAACACATGTGTGTGGCGCAGATGCAGAGTTGGTTGGGGTGCCATATTGCATGGAAGCAACATGTTGAACAGAAATTCCATGAGCTTTTGAACCATACAGGTCTGGGATGAGATTCCAGCTTTTCCATTGCTGATCTATAGAATCTTAGACAATTTACATAAACTTTTTAACCCTTCTTTATTCTATTTGTTTAAAAAAATAATTGCATGCATATATATCTCATAAGATTCTTGCATTGCATAAGGTGATGTACTTGATAATACCAACTACTGGTCATCGAAATAAGTTGATGTGTAACAAATTATTAACATCTTAATATAATAAACTCTTAACATCTAATAACAAAATAAAACCATTTCTGTATTAAAAAAAAACTATTACCCATCGATACATGTACCTCAGCAACAAGGATAAATGCCAGAGGGTTATCACTGCAAAGCAAGGCTATATTTGTGAGAAATAGAGTCTTTGGGGATACAGCCCCTTGAGTAAATTATTGTTTATAAAAATTCTACTGAATATCCTCAGGGCAGGGAAAATTACAAGTTACATGTGCACAAATAAATATATGCAGTCTAAGAACATCTATAGATGTAGGTTTTGTGTGCATTGAAGCTTTTTAAATGAAAACTTTGATGAATTGCTAAACTCATAACTGTATTAGAACCCATAAAAGTAAATAAGGGTTTAATGTACTGAATACAACTTCAAGTAAAAATAGAAATTTTCTGGGGAAAATGTGCTTTTTAAAAAATATACATTTGGATATTACAACCTTTAATGTTTAATTAAATTTTTTATTTTGTGAAATAAAATTTGGGGAGCATACTAAAGATTCAGTGAAAATTAGAAAATAAAGTTATATTTAGCAGAATGAGAAAATAGAAATTCTGAAGGAAACTGGTCCATGGTCTCTTCAAGCCCAGGATCAAAGGAACCTGACTCTAAAACTAAGGAATGCTCTGCTATACGGCCACAGACATACCAAACGTCAATTGTGGCCGTGACTCCTTACCAAAAAATGTAGCCACTCTATGTGACAGAATCATGAAAAAAAAAAGTTAATGTATGCTTCATTGTTCTATTAGAAAGCATATATGTTAGAAAATCAAAGTAGGTAATGGGGAAGGCAACTGTGTGTGTGTGTGTGTGTGTGTGTGTGTGTGTGTGTATGTGTGTGAAATGTCTATCACCACAAAGGGTGGTACAGATATCAAGCATCCTGGAACAACTCTATAAGACGTGCATTTTTTAAAAGTGTATGTTACTTACATTGAAAATAATGTTGCAATTCTATTCATGGCATGTTTGTAAACCAACTTTTCAGGCAAACCCAAATTATCTGTAAACACAGGTAACAGGAAATTCTGGACCACTTAATATGGCCACATTGCAAAAGTGCCACTGATTACTGCAAATGTATTAGTCATTTTGATCTAAAAATCAACTTCAAGGATAACCAAAAGTTGTAATTTATTTTGTCAAATTGTTTAAAATTAAGACATAATTTAAAACCCTGGGTATTTAGAAAATGTTTCATTTATATACCTTGACATAATTATATGTACATGTTATTTCTCTTTCCCAAGAGAGGTAAACTTTTTTTTTTCTTTTGGTCCCAATAGATCGTCAGTGTAATTTTCCAAAACAAGTGAAGTAACCAATTTGTAATTTCAAGGGAAGTAAGCAATTTGGGGCTATATCCCAAATGACCCAAACCTCACTTAAATAAGATTTTGCTATACAGTAACAATTCCTCCCTGCCTATCTCCAGTGCTGCAGTAGATGTATCACCCATTTACAGGTTTTCAAGGACACAGAAATATTTTCAAGGACACAGATTTGCGTGTATGTACTGGTTAACAAAGTGATCATTTGAAGGAAAATGTTAGAAATTAACAACTTACTTGTTACGTAAATATTGTTTGGTGTTTTCACCCACACCATTAACACAAGAATCACATGAGGTATGTATTGTTATCTGTTTCTATAGGTAAGGAAACAAAAGATCAAAAACAGAAGATCAAGACTTGCCTGTGATTCCATAGACTGCAAGAGGGCAGGACTTGAAACCCATGCCAGGTTTGCAAGGCTTCAAAGTCCTTATTTCTACATTCACTGTGCCTTCTATGACAACAACCATATCCTGTTTTGAAAACATTTATGTTGTAATACATCTATTTTACTTTCAAATATGCAATTTATTGGGGCTTGTCTAGGTTAAAAAAAAAAAAAGCCAGAATTTGAGAATTCTCACATATAATCCTAGTCCTGTTCATACCCTGACATACCATCATCATGATTTACATGAACATTGACTAAATACAATTAGATAGAATGTTTGACTAAAAGAAAAATGGTTGCCAATAGTTATGTATATATTAGGTCATTGGGAAAGTCATGACTTATTTTTCTGTTTTTCTACACAAATAGGAGTCATGACTTTCCTGATGATCTAATATGATTTCTTAATTGTTTTTCAAGCAGAGTTTCTTAAAGAAAATGAAAATTTTTCTTTTAAAAATTTTATTCATTTATTTCTCCTATGGGAAAGAGAGACAAAGACATAGAGAGAGCACTCCCTAACTGAGTCTTGATGTCACAATCCACCCTCACCTTCCACCATCCCCCGGGTCATTGGCACACACACAGTGAACTCGAAGAGGTCTCTAGATGCAAATCCAGAATCTTTCCCTGTGCATCACCTCACAGGACATCATGTTTTACCACTGTGCCACCAATTAGCCCTGAAAAAGCAAATTATTCTGAAAAATGTGTTAATGATTAGAGTCATGGGAAAGAATAAATATGACTAACATATTCTCCCCTTGGTCATATAATGTAGTTTGAACTAAGAATCTATTATTCTGAAATACTAATTAGTCTTTCTTTCAATATATTAGATCATCAGAAAAGTCATGAAGCAAAAAAACAGAAAAATACGTCATGACTTTTCCAACAACCCAATAATTTGCTAGTTTCTTGTTGTTGTTGTTGTTGTTGTTTAAGAGGTTTTTGCTATAGGGCATGTGTGCTTGACAGAGAGACAAAGAGAGACAGAGATATAGAAAGCGAGAAATCACTACCCAGGGTGGATGGCCTGCCACAATCTCTTCTCCTTCATTCTCCTCTTGGGATTTTGGGTATGCATGCACATGCATCTGGCATGAGTTTTAAGCGGCCGGGTCCGAGACGCGAACCACAGTCAACTACGTGGGAGTCCAGGACGTAACCATTATGCCATCTGCTGGTCCCAATTTGCTAACTCTTCTAACTGGCTACTTTCATCTTGAACTCTCTGAGCCCCTGGCCTCCTGTCAAATGTTCCTACTCATTCACCTACAGTTCTTTATTAGAAGCCATGAAACTAAAATTTACCTAATGTAGGTCTCCAAATGCTTTCATTGATTTATTTAATTCTAGTCTTAATGATACCTAGACTCATTGCTTCATGCTAGCCCATTAATTTGAAAAGGTATTGAGTAGAATGTAAGTCATGGGTTACTTTGCAAAATATCTAGGATGTTTAGTTCATAGCAATAGTAAAAAATCATATTTGACCTTTCATCTTGACTACAGATACCATTTAGTTCTTGGTACGCAATTTCTATGACTGGGGCTGGCAAGTGGCTTGGTGGTTAAGGGTGCTGGAATCCCATGTGGCTGACTACGGCTCAAGTCCTGGACCTGGCAGCTTGCTCTCTCTCTCTCTCTCTATCCCTCTCTGGTCAAATTGAAATAAATAAATGAATGAATAAAGTTAAATATTAAAAAAAGGAAAAAACAAACAAAAAACAATTTCTATGACTAAGGATTTTTAAAATTTATTTATTCCAGGAAAAGGAACAAGTAAGAAAGAAATTCAACTCTATATTTCTTGACTGAAAGAGATATTGGATGAATGGAGATAGCATTTACCAAGACAACACTAGGGCAGAGAAAAACTTGGGATAGACATGGAAAACTAAAAGCTGGTCTTTTTGTGAATAGTTATTTATAGTTTGTGTTACTACATTTTTTGATACTGTAAACATCCTTTTTGTATCATCTGTGTATATGGAGGTTGGACTTAACCTATGGTAAACAAATAAGAGTGAAATAGCTAGGTCTCAAGGTGAGTCTTCCATTTTAATATTTTATGAAATATGAAAATAAATTACGTATACAAAATGGTCTATAAGTAAGGCAAAGTCATCATTTAAAAATTTAATTAGAAGATTATGTATATAACTTAAGTATATATATTAGTTGTGGAGTCATTTCCAATTTAATCTCCTCTAGTACTGCTTTCACCAGGCACCATTAAATGGGTAAATGGAGACTAGAAATGATACAACAGTGACAGAGTTTATTATTTTGGGATTAACAGATAATCCTACACTATGTGCCTTCTTCTTTGTGGTTTTTCTAGGAGTTTATATAGTTACCATCATGGGAAATTTCAGCATAATTATCTTAATTCGAAGCAGCCCACAACTTCATACTCCCATGTATCTTTTTCTCAGCCATTTGGCCTTTGTGGACATTGGGTATTCCACATCAGTCACATCAATTATGCTCTCGAGTTTCTTGAGAGAGAGAACTACTATCCCTGTCACTGGGTGTGTAGTACAGCTTGCCTCTGATGTTGCTTTTGGGACTACAGAGTGCTTTCTGCTGGCCACCATGGCCTATGATCGGTATGTGGCCATCTGCTCTCCCCTGCTCTACTCCACCCAAATGTCCCCAGTGATCTGCTTTCTCTTACTGGGGGCTTCCTACATGGGTGGATGTATGAACGCCTCATCATTTACAGGCTGTTTGATGAACCTGTCCTTCTGTGGCTCAAATAAAATCAATCACTTTTTCTGTGACCTTTTTCCGCTCCTAAAGCTTTCTTGTGGCCACGTCTATATTGCTGAAATATCTCCCGCCATCTCCTCTGCATCAGTCCTTGTAAGCACTTTGTTTACCATAGTTGTGTCCTATATCTACATTCTCCATGCAATCATGAAGATGCGCTCTACGGAGGGCAGAAACAAGGCCTTCTCTACCTGCACTTCCCACCTCACTGCAGTCACTTTGTTTTATGGGACAGTTTTGTTTGTTTATGTGATGCCCAAGTCCAGCTATTCAGCTGATCATGTCAAAGTGGCATCTGTGATCTACACCGTGGTGGTCCCCATGTTGAACCCTCTCATCTACAGTCTGAGGAACAAGGAGGTGAAAGAGGCCATGAGAAAACTGTTGAGTAGGACTCATTGGTTTTCTTGAATTAAATCAGATATAAATCCATAAATAACAAAACCAATGGTTTGGACACCATTCATGTTTGATATTTTAATTACATTTATCTCTAACGTTAATACTTGCATAGTGAAGAACTCATAAATATAGAAAGTCAATGTGTACTTTCATTTAGAAGGTTAAGTGTTCCATTTATGTAGACATCAGCTGGATTTGAATTAAATTGGGGTTTTTTTTAGGTAAGAATATTTCAGAAAATAGTTTTTAATATACTCTCCCCTATTCACCAGTGACAAAGTCTTATTTAAATAAAGACAGATCATTTCAATCAAAGATCAATTTTCTTTAAATTCCATCTTGTAAAATCACATAACTTTCCAGTAAATGTGTGGTAAATGGTGATGTTAATAAGCCAAGCAGTTTCATCTCTTTAAAGTTACTGTCATGCTGTGATCAATAAATACTTCAACTTTTGGAACTGTTATGTTTGAGTCTCAGAAAAGCTCATGTTTATTTTGTTTCATTCAAGCCAGACCAAAAATAATTCTATTATTTGACCATTAAGAGATCAAATCCAGATAACACATTAAAAAAAACTCTGAATAAATCAGAATTTTCTAAGAAAAGTTAACTAAAACTTTATTTATTAAAGACTTTACTAATTAAAGTCCTTTTCTGAGTATTTTGTTTGTTTGTTTTTTGTTTTCGTTTTGCTACAAGGTGTGCGAGCTACTGGAGAGACAGAGACAGGCAGAAAGAGAGAAATCACTCTTCAGAGGGGATGACCATGCCACAATCTCTTCTCCTCCACCCTCCTCTCGAGATTTTTGGCATGCATACACATGTGCCCAGCATGAGTTTCAAGCCACCAGGTCTAGAACTCGAATTGCAGTTGACCATGTGGGAGTCCAGCATCTTAACCACTACACCGCCTGCTGGGTCCCTTAAATCTTTATAAATACTTACTAGAGTAGGATTTTGGAAGCAGACGTTTCTTTGAAGTAAAATACTGAAACAGTGAGACTTTCTTGGAGCAATGCTTATAGATAAGAATGAATTATGGCCTAGGCAAAGAATATATTTGTCACATGTTTGTAACATCTCTCAAAAAGGCTCAACCTCACTACATCTTCCACTCCCCTTTCTGTAGGTGCTTGAGTCACAGCAATTAGGATCCAGTTATGGCCATTGCCTCTAAATTAACACCCTAACTCCTGTATTTTTTCCTCAGTGACTTCCGACAAATATTTTAGTTAATATATTTTTTCTTATGAGCATAGAAGTAATGTTAGATAAATTCTGAGACAGCACGGAGGGGCCATTTTACATGCTGACCTCCCATTCCTGGGTTTTTCACTGATCAAGTCAAGGAAATCTCTTCTACCTGGAAGCCACATTGCAGAATTTCTCTGAAACTATTTCCTCACTTAGACCTCTCTATTTGCAACAATTATGGGCCTCTAATACCACCAGTGTAGTAATTCTGGGCCTAAAGTCAGCACAGACATGACACTTTGCACAGAGAAGGGACTCAAAGGTATCACTTCAGTCTGGGGAAGAGCCATCTTAGAGTTGAACACCATACTTTGATAGTTGAAGATTTTCATTGACTGTAATCCCCTTCTTCACTTGCTCTCCACATTGCACTTTTATTTTCTTTATTCATGGCATGAAAGAGAGAGAGAGGCACCTTTTAAGGGTTTGGCCATGACCAATCCCCATCCTACAGTCCTCTAGCCCATTGGATCTTGGACAATCATGTTCATGCCCTATGTGTTTCGGGCTGACTGGTCTGGGGATTCAAACCACAGCGCTATGTGGAATCCAGCTTCTTTGGAGCAGCACACTACTAGTGTGCCACAAAACCAAACCCACTTTACTTTTTATCAAGGGGTATCCTCAGCCCTCTCACATTTTTCTCACTTCCTCATGGTCCCCTTGGGCTACCCCATCTTCTCCCATGAACTCAACTGCCACCTGTGGTAACAGAGTCCGAATTTACAAATACAATCATCCTTGGAAGACAGATGAACGTCCTCACTGGCCTTTTTCTTAGGGCTCTCAAAATCAGTGTACCTTTACTGAATTTATCATATTTCTCCCAGAACTGTTCCTTCTTTTTCATTTCCTTTCTCACTATATGCCTTCTCTTTGTGAGGTCTAATACTCCAACAAACATGGAGTGGCCTTCACTGCATACGTATCTAAATTGTGGACCTTCCCTGGAATTTGATAGAAAATGGATGAATATGGAATATTTAATGCTAAGTGAAGCAAGACAGACTGAAAGAGAGGCATTGTATGTCTCCCCTTAATTTACAACAAATGTCTGTACTCTATGGTAGAAACTGAAGATTGGAAGGTATAAAGTTTTATTACCTGTTGATGATGGAATGTATAGTATTCTCAACTGGACTGGTCTGAGGAGTATTTCATGTTGGGTAAATCCTCTATATAAGCTAAATTATGTAACAATTGAATGCATAAATAATAATGATAAGGCACGGAGAGCAACTGTGGATATTAGAAAAAGTGCAGGAGGAGGGTAGGCAATGGGGACTAGTGGTAGGGAGGGAATCAAGAGGTAAAAAAAGCAAAATCAGTGTCCTTGTTAAAATGGCAATTTTGAACACAGAAAACACACAGGGAAAATGCCACATGAAGATAAAAACAGAGAGCTGGGTGATGCCTCTACATGCCAAGGATGTCAGAAGCTGAGAGGCAGGGAACTGATTCTCCCTTCCAGTCTTCAGAAAAAAACAATCCTAGGATACCTTTGTCTTAGACTTCCAGTTTCCAGAACTATGAGGCACTAAATTTCTATTTAAGCCACCATTTTATGGCACTTCGTTATGACAGCACCAATAAATTAATATAGTTATTTAATTTTGTTTTCCCCTCCAAATTCATAATTAGCTAATTTACTCCTTCCAGGGAAGAGGGAAGAGAAGGCTTGGGAAAATGTCAGTTGTTTCACATTCCAAAGAGGAAAGAGTATCAGGAATGATAAAAAAATAGTAATGATAATAATAATAATTTTACCTCATTGAAGTGAACCAATAAGTAAGGTTAAAATATAATAATAATAATAATAAAATTTTCTTTAAATTCCATCTTGTAAAATCACATAACTTTCCAGTAAATGTGTGGTAAATGGTGATGTTAATAAGCCAAGCAGTTTCATCTCTTTAAAGTTACTGTCATGCTGTGATCAATAAATACTTCAACTTTTGGAACTGTTATGTTTGAGTCTCAGAAAAGCTCATGTTTATTTTGTTTCATTCAAGCCAGACCAAAAATAATTCTATTATTTGACCATTAAGAGATCAAATCCAGATAACACATTAAAAAAAACTCTGAATAAATCAGAATTTTCTAAGAAAAGTTAACTAAAACTTTATTTATTAAAGACTTTACTAATTAAAGTCCTTTTCTGAGTATTTTGTTTGTTTGTTTTTTGTTTTCGTTTTGCTACAAGGTGTGCGAGCTACTGGAGAGACAGAGACAGGCAGAAAGAGAGAAATCACTCTTCAGAGGGGATGACCATGCCACAATCTCTTCTCCTCCACCCTCCTCTCGAGATTTTTGGCATGCATACACATGTGCCCAGCATGAGTTTCAAGCCACCAGGTCTAGAACTCGAATTGCAGTTGACCATGTGGGAGTCCAGCATCTTAACCACTACACCGCCTGCTGGGTCCCTTAAATCTTTATAAATACTTACTAGAGTAGGATTTTGGAAGCAGACGTTTCTTTGAAGTAAAATACTGAAACAGTGAGACTTTCTTGGAGCAATGCTTATAGATAAGAATGAATTATGGCCTAGGCAAAGAATATATTTGTCACATGTTTGTAACATCTCTCAAAAAGGCTCAACCTCACTACATCTTCCACTCCCCTTTCTGTAGGTGCTTGAGTCACAGCAATTAGGATCCAGTTATGGCCATTGCCTCTAAATTAACACCCTAACTCCTGTATTTTTTCCTCAGTGACTTCCGACAAATATTTTAGTTAATATATTTTTTCTTATGAGCATAGAAGTAATGTTAGATAAATTCTGAGACAGCACGGAGGGGCCATTTTACATGCTGACCTCCCATTCCTGGGTTTTTCACTGATCAAGTCAAGGAAATCTCTTCTACCTGGAAGCCACATTGCAGAATTTCTCTGAAACTATTTCCTCACTTAGACCTCTCTATTTGCAACAATTATGGGCCTCTAATACCACCAGTGTAGTAATTCTGGGCCTAAAGTCAGCACAGACATGACACTTTGCACAGAGAAGGGACTCAAAGGTATCACTTCAGTCTGGGGAAGAGCCATCTTAGAGTTGAACACCATACTTTGATAGTTGAAGATTTTCATTGACTGTAATCCCCTTCTTCACTTGCTCTCCACATTGCACTTTTATTTTCTTTATTCATGGCATGAAAGAGAGAGAGAGGCACCTTTTAAGGGTTTGGCCATGACCAATCCCCATCCTACAGTCCTCTAGCCCATTGGATCTTGGACAATCATGTTCATGCCCTATGTGTTTCGGGCTGACTGGTCTGGGGATTCAAACCACAGCGCTATGTGGAATCCAGCTTCTTTGGAGCAGCACACTACTAGTGTGCCACAAAACCAAACCCACTTTACTTTTTATCAAGGGGTATCCTCAGCCCTCTCACATTTTTCTCACTTCCTCATGGTCCCCTTGGGCTACCCCATCTTCTCCCATGAACTCAACTGCCACCTGTGGTAACAGAGTCCGAATTTACAAATACAATCATCCTTGGAAGACAGATGAACGTCCTCACTGGCCTTTTTCTTAGGGCTCTCAAAATCAGTGTACCTTTACTGAATTTATCATATTTCTCCCAGAACTGTTCCTTCTTTTTCATTTCCTTTCTCACTATATGCCTTCTCTTTGTGAGGTCTAATACTCCAACAAACATGGAGTGGCCTTCACTGCATACGTATCTAAATTGTGGACCTTCCCTGGAATTTGATAGAAAATGGATGAATATGGAATATTTAATGCTAAG